CTCCCGAGTCTGGGCCCTACACTGCCACACCACTCACCTCATGACCAAGCTGACCTAGTGGCTGCTGCAACTGCCAAAGACCCCCTGGTCAGAGGAGAGGTCACAGTGGATTTAAGAAAAAAAAAACTTCTCCTAAAAACTTATTTGTAACCGAAATCTGTTATAACAAAATGATCCCTCTACTCTGCTGAAAACCTTTCCAACATCTGGCTCACTTAGGACAAGAGGTCCAACCCTTCTGGTTGCCCAGACTCGGTGAGGTGAACCCAGCTGCTCTGCACCAAGACCTGTGGCTTCTCCCCAACCCTGTGTGCTGCCCTCTCTCTTCTGCCTCAGAGCTGCCGCCCAGCCCTTCTGCTATAAATTACTTGTTCCCTCTTCACCCGGCCGACTCCCAACGGCTAACTCCCAACCTACCATCAGCTCAGTTAGGACACAGCTTCCCCGAGGAAGACCTCCAGGCACTCTTGAAACCCAACCCCCTGAGCTGCTCCCTTGTCGCCCTTCTTTTCCCCTTCTGGTGATGTACTTGGTTTTATACCACTGCCCCTGCCAGACTGCCAGCCCTCAGACTGTTTCTGGTTTGCTAACCTCTTCACCCCTGCATCCCGCACAGTATTTAGTCATTTCTACATACGGACACACTGCTCTTTCACTACGGAAAATCAACCACTCATTTAAAATTTCCAGTGATGCGGAATCAGATGGTAACTTACCGGAGTTACTTTGAAGTCCAACGATGAAGTTTCCAAAGTGTTCTCGAATCGTTCTCCATCCACCTGAAAAACAAAATGGAAGATTACTTTGTGGAGCCTGGAGCTGTGAAAACCAAGGCCAATACCTCACTACTTTCTAGGCAACTTGTGTGTCTACTTTCTTCATGGCACCTGTTGCCATCTCCAAGACTACTTATGGGTCAGCACCTCCCTCTCCACCGGAACATACACTCCAGGACTCTGCTCCGCCAGCATCTCTGGAGTGGCTTGCAGGGGGTATGCCCTGTGTGTATCGGGTGAATGGATGAATCCATTTTCCAGGCAGTGTCTAAGTACTGGTGATTAACACATACTCCCTAACTACAGGATTTCCAAAGCAGAACTCAAAGTGACACACTCGGCACTCCTCCAATTTCACCTGGTAGCAATGCTCTTAAGGTAACACTAACTGGGCACTTTCTCCTAGCCTACACTTTATTAAAAACAAACATCTAACTTGGTCATTTGCTCTCTTTACTGTATGCCAAACCAAAGAAAAGTTATCTCCAAGTTTACTAAACTTGAAGCCCTTCTTAAGTGAAACACAAAAAGACCACTCCCAAATATTTTATTCTTTTTTCCTTTTCTAGATTTGAACCCATGACCTAGATGCCTCCTTACCCAGGAAGCACACGCTCTGAAAACGGTTAGCACGCAGCAGTGTCAGGCTGAGAAAGGAGACAAACCAGTTGCTCTGTGCTACACTAGGGCAAACGACGGTAAATTTGGAGGTGACTTTTGACCCTAAGGTTTAAGGTTCAGTCCTACAGGAACATTTCCACCCCCAACCTGAAAGCTGCAATGCCTTAAGGAAATAAAACAACCCACTGGGCACCTGACATCAGTCAGATTAAAAGGACAATCAGATCGAAGACAGTGACTGCTTGTGGTATTTGAACAGCCCCACCAGAGAGCTCTACACCAAAACACCAGAAGTGAGAAGCTGGGAAAGCCCTAACAAAGCAAGATCCTCCTTCGCATACAAGGATGCTCACAGTCGGTCCCTTTGGGGAGCAGGGTTGGCACCTGTCTGCACCGTACTTTACATCTTTTAATGTAACTGCCTAACCTTGCTTAAAACAACATTAACAGGCCAGACGTGGTGGCTCTGCCTGGAATTCCAGTACTTTGGGAGGCCAAGGTGGATGGATTACTTGAGGTCAGGAGTTTGGGACCAGCCTGGCCAACATGATGAAACCCCATCTCTACCAAAAATAAAAAAAGTTAGCTGGGTGGCCTGGCGTGGTGGCTCACGTCTGTAATCCCAGCACTTTGGGAGGCTGAGGCGGGTGGATCACAAGGTCAGGAGATCAAGATCATCCTGGCCCAACGTGGTGAAACCCTGGCTCCACTAAAAATACAAAAACATTAGCTGGGCGCAGTGACACACACCTGTAGTCCCAGCTACTCAGGAGGCTGACACAGGAAAATCGCTTGAACCCAAGAGGTAGAGGATGCAGTGAGCCGAGATCACGCCACTGCACTCCAGGCTAGCGACAGAGCGAGATTCCGTCTCAAAAAAAAAAAACAAAACAAAACAAAAAT